ATTGGTGATGTGGGAAAAGCTAACATAATCATTTGTTAAGCAATTTCAAAAGTACACCACCATTTTCCATCTTCTTTGCTCTTTTGAAACCATGGATAGATACTTCAAGTTGATGAATCACCTGTGCCCTACAAGGATCTGAGTTTTGCTACACAAAGGTCAGGTACAGCTAAGATATGGCCCTCTTGGCATGGCTTCCCAGAACAAATATTTGATCCAAGGGATATCTCCTTCCTTGGTTCCCCTACTGCATGCCTCAATGATGTGTGTCTCAATGGATATGCAATCTTGCTGCATGACACCTACATGTCCACACATGCTGTGCAGCACACTGCCATTCTCTCTACTCACAACCTCCCATGTATTTGATACAATGCACCTGATGAGATCCTCTGGCATCAAACTTTGTGGATGTGTTATTGGGAGAAGGAAGTATGGATATTGCCCATTCATCAGCCAGTTCCTGTTGGTCATTGGGTACTCTGTGTTATCCATTGTTCCTCCAGGAAATTCTATCTTTTTGACAGTTTAGCTGAGGAGCACCCTTGGCAACATGACATCAAAGCGAGTGCATTATTATAGTATATGCAGGAATACTGTCATTATCCACATAGGCTATTATGACACTTGTGTCTCATCTACTATCTATTGCTTGTTGACACCACCCTGTGGTATCACTTGATCTTGGAGAATGGGTAGCTCATCCACTTATTGTAAATTTATTTGTTGTGAAGTCTCAGTCCTTACTAACTACATTTTTCCAGCTTCAACCTCGGCAGACAAACGGTTATGACTGCAGAGTTTGGGTGCTAGCTGAGATTATGGCAGTCTTATGAGGTTTCCATCTTACAGGATTGCAAGAGGATGATATGGAGAGCTTCCAACATTCATTATATTGCCTCATTCTCAATCTCAACACACTGTAGATGGGAATTATTTAATGAATGTAGTAGTTAAGCAATGACTTTGTTCTGGGTAATTTTTATTTTAATGTCACCCTTGTAGTCTGACAGCCTCTGGAGGCTCTGATAACTGAGAAAATGAGCCTCTCAAAAAAACTGCACATTTTTAACAGAAATGTTAACTTGTTACTACTGTAGGCACATGTCCTGGAGACTTGATGTACATCAAACTGAAGTGAAAATGTCTGAATGTAGAGGGCACCCACCTTTTCATTAAGTTGGGAGGCACTACATGTTACCATCTCTGGAAAGTTCTGCTGCCAGTGCAGTGGCATACCTTCAAAGTTCAAATTTTTGAGCTTCCTCAAACTTACTAGAATTTTCCTCATTCCAAAGGTTTCTCTTGCACATGGTCTGCACATGATCAATTGATTGTTATCTAGAGCTGGTGCTACTTTCAAACACTGTCTAAGCACTACCTCCTGCAAGATGGCCATGACCAACAGCACATCAAATTCACCCTGTGGCCTCATTGATTCTGCCACACTCACAGATTCACAATCTTTTCTGTTTCTTGGATTGTGAGTAGTTGTCTAATTGGATGTTCAAATGTTACTGACCTGCTTCTAGCTTGTCAATGTAGCTATGTCAACAGAGGACACCCAACCTACTGAAGTCTCTGGAGGCTCCTGCCTCAGTAAAGAATGGAAAAACCTCGATGGGATACCTTGTATTATGGGTGGGATGAGGGCACTTGCTGGTAAGATTAATCATGACACATCCATCCTATCTAAAAATCATTTCAGCATCACTTGGTGGGATGCTCTGTGGGCACACAAGTGCTGACTTCCCCTATAAAACTCTCCCAAGGGAACTAGCTCGCCTCAGGTATGTCCTCACCAATTACCCTAATGATACCTTGATACCCAGCGAGCTGCGCCCCTCTCTCTCTCTCACACCAAAGGCATCCATGATCTGAGCCACTACCATTGCATCAATCTCATCAACCACCTCAAGGCAGGCACCCTCACCATCTGAGCAGTGAAGAGTGATGCTGCTCATACACATCTCACTACATCAAAGGACCCCATTGTAATCAGAGAAGCCCCCTCAGCTTGCTCTTTACACTCCCATGGGCAGTGTGCATTTGCTGATGGTTGAATCGACAGAAAGGGTCTTCCTCATCTTAGTTTACCTTCTTCTTTACCTACTTCTTGTTGTTGCACCCAAGTTATTGTGGAAATCACACAACCACCTCCTCAACCAGCTTCTTGAGCAGTTCCAAAACCATCTGGTGTGCATACCAGTGATCTTATCCCACACATTACTTCTGTCAAGGGGAGACCATCCAGTTCCAAGGACGATGACATGACTGGCAGTGCAAATGATGAGGACGAGTCAGAGTTGCAATTTAGTGACAGTGAAAGTCACCCTGCAAAGTGCCTTAGATGTTGATCAAAGTCCATCCTATCATCAAATGTAGATAGCAGATGTACATAGGTCATTCTTTGGGACTAACCTAATTCTGACATTGTGTTGTCTTGGGCATGAAGTAGATTTTCAGCCATGGATTAATGAAATCTTTAGTCACAAAGCCATTTGATACCAAGCCCCCTTTGGAGCCTCTGGAGCCTCCAGAGGTTCACCAATTCACCATCTACACCCTCCTCAGTGGACCTCCATGATGTCTGGTACATTGTTTGCTTCTATACCTCCATTTTTCTAACTTATTTAGTCTTGAAATTAAGGACTTCCTTCACACACACTTAAATTTTGATATAAGTATGAGGTGTTGTGCCCTCCTTTTTTTACCCACCTTTTGGATCTGCAATTCCAGTGAGTATTTTCATTGCTACATGTCATTTTCTCTGATCTTGCGCAAAGGGTATGAAGCTTAATCTATCAGACTACTATTCTGACCCTACCAATGACCAGGCATCCTCACCTCCTGTGTACCTTTCTGTGTTATCACCTGCTGCTATGGATTCCAAATATACACAGGGAGGATATGCACAGGAACAGTTCAGAGGTGGTTGATACAAGGATCTGCTAACAGAACTCACTCCATCAAGACTATGGAGCACAATCAAGCCCACATCTCACAACATTGGTATCGCAAGGGATGCTGCTATCCAACATCAAGCAGCCTGTGCTCCCAGCAGCTATACCACTAATACCTTCACATCTGGTAATTCTTATTGAAGATCTTTTCTCCAGATTTCTGACTTTGTCCTTGCTGCTAGAGTTGATGCACTCCAGCCATCACAACTCTCCTTTCATTGAGGCCATGCCTGCTCAACATCCTGCGCAGACTCAAGATCTATTTTCCAGCACATTGGCACCCACTAGCCAGCAGCCACAGCCAGTCATGCCTCAAAATTTGGATGTATTCACCCAGCAGCCCCAGTATGGCGCTCTCGATCAAAACTCCATGGTTCCTTATAACCTTCTTACCATACCATCTGGAGTTCAGCCATTGTGGCCCATGCCATCACCTCTGATAGAACATGAGGCTCCCAGACTCTCCCCTAGCCCACTGGCTTTGTATTCGCAGTTACTGACCTCACCACTTCTCATGCCTGCAGTTGCAGGTCCAAGCTCTCAGGGAGGTTCACAGCCCAATATGCATGGGTCAGATGGGCCCTGGAATTTTTCATCCATAGTGTTAGCAAACTCTTTGCCACCTCAAGGAGCTGTTCTGATGATGCATATCATCCCACCAACTCCCCTCAAGCCTTTTGAGCTTTTGGCTCCACCTTCTGCTGGTGTGCCATGTCACCATGCAGTCACATTCAGTCCATCAGCCACTGGAATATCTCATGTTGGGTCTGATGTTATGATGGATGATGATAATGCTCCCATTGCTGGTCGACATTCATCAGAGACAAACTCTGCACTCAAAGAAGGGTGCACTGCTTTGGATGCCATTGTCAATGATACCACAAAGAATATGAATATGCCGTCCTACCAGGTAATCAACCTGTGGATGAAGAGTTGAGGTCAAGTGATCAATAGCACCAACTACTGGAATCTTTATGCAGGGTACTTCAAGGACTGGATGTGCCAGGAATTTGTAAGGCTTGGTGATGGCGCTCCTCCTCAGGATGGTTCAATGACACCAAGTAAGTGATTCGTTTATACTGTGTGCTTTTTGCTCAGTGCCATATATTGATCTTACAGGCACTGGTGTTCACCGTCAGTGCTATGAGCTCTTCAAGAAAAGCTATCCAGACACTTATCAGGATATCCTTGATACCTACAGAGAACTCAACATGCTGACAGATAATCAAACCATTGTGCAAGCAAGGGTTTGAGGCCACCATCATCATATGTGGTAACATTGTTAATGAAGATGTGTCACTAGGCCATGTTCACACAATGCCCAGCACTGGCAGTGTAAGTGTTACCCTCCTTGAAAGTATTTTATGTATTAATACCTCTGTAGTTTTTCAAAAGTGCTGCCAAGCTAGTAATGATGCCATCATTGGGCATATCAAAAGCACATGTGTACAACACCATCTCACTGTCTGCTGTGGAGCAGGCCTTCAAGGGCACAGAAGGAGATCAAGAGCAGGTGCTGATAGAGATCCCAGATGTGAGCTCATCTGAGTCAGAGAAGGAGAAGGATGCATTGAAATTGCTGAAGGCTGGTCTCATCAAGTAAGTTGGTATGTAGCACATCATGTCCATGGTTTTATGAGATCCTGACATTTTTTTCTCAGTGGACCTTGGTGGGAAGTTTGCCGACAGACTTTCCTCATGGATCCTGATGCCTAGTTCCCTCACTAATGACCATCTATGCATTGAGGGGTATCCTGCACACTTGAGTTTGATGCCAGGAGAATCTCATAACATTAATTTATGGAGTAAAGTCTTGCAGGACTGACACAACATGAGGTCAATGTGCTTGCTCATTTGTTGAAGGCAAAGACAATGCACATTGTTAAGGCAAACCAAAACCATAGGAGGTATGTGCTGATACACTTATTAGACCACTGTAGCTCATAATAATTTGACAGGTGCAGTGATAGTCTCCAAGGAGCCTGTCATCATTGGTAAGGCCCCTCCAGCAGACTCTATTTTCCAAATGTGAGGCAGATGTTTGTTAATGGAACATTTGATTATGGTGGCCCTCCACACCTTCAAGCCAGCTCTGCCATTACCAGGAAGAAGCCAAAGGTCCCCATGTCAGCGCACACTCAGGATGATGTTATGGGTATTGTGGCCAAAGACACCATGACTACCATCCAGAAAACCAACTTGCGTTCCGAGGTACTCATACCTCCTCCATCACATCCATTTAAGCTTGCAAAGCGACTCCCTACTAAACCAGTGCCAGCTCCCATAGAAATTCTGTCCAGTACAGATGGTGTTGAGAAGCCTGATGAGGAGCCTCTCAACTCATCCAATGGCAAAATCCATAGTGAGGATAATGCCGACTATGGTGATTTTTCACATTCACGTTCATGGAAGCTTGATACCAGAGTTGTACAAGCTATGAAAAAGCATGTACAACCAATTGGGTTAGAGGAGGAGATGGCCATTGAGAACAAGCCAAGTGCACAAGCCACAGGCAAGGCTCATGCCAAAGGAGGGCACTCATCTCCTCTCACAGTAGGGTTCTCAGGAGATGAAGAACAGCAATCACAACCTGCTATAGGTAAGTCTTGATGGTTATCTCAGTTCAGTAGTGATCCTGACTGATAATTAAACAGACAATGCAGCAATGCACCTGTGTGATGGACCTCCTGACATTGTGAAAGGTATTGCTCTACATAAATGTCTGAAGATTTACTAAGATCAGCCCAGTGTGATGTGCATGCCCAGTGACTAAGGAGGCCAACCTGCTCTCACCAAGACCATGCGTCTCTTGCAAGAAGATGAAGACTCACAGAATAATAGCAGAGCTGTGCAGCCTGAGACATTAGTTGATCATTTGACCTCTGTGCAAGTCACTGAAGCACCCATTCTTCTGGCAGTGCCATCTTCCCCATGTAAAACTGAACTTCCTGCCAAACACACAGGTGGTAATGGACAGTCTGGCCATGTCCAAGATGTGCCTCCCCCACTACTGCAAAATCTAACATGTGCCCCATCTGAGGATATTTGTCCTGGCCCACCATTTCTAACCTTGATGCACCAGAACCTTGCCATGTTGACCCTTGTGGGGCCACAACAATCACTCCCATGAGCCTCATGACACCTGATACATTCATGGTGACCTGCACACTCATCAAGACAGCTCTCCTGCACTCCCCGATGATGATCATTACCTCAGTGATGCACCATGTGGTGCATACAGTGGCTCAAAAAGTGACTCAATGTTTGTGACTTTTTGTGTAATTGCTGTATTATGAGCTAGGGTGTGAGAATATGACTAAGCCATAGGGAGGTGTGGAAAAGCTCTGCTTCTAAGCTTTATGTTTGATCCCTCCAGCGTGAGAAAATTATGTCATCAAGTGAAGATATGGTCAATTTAATTTGGTGACTCATTGAGACACTTTTTGACTTTCAGTTTGACCAACACAATCTCTATAATTCTGGTACTTGGTGTTTCCTCCTGTTGCTCTAATTACTTCTGCCACTCTTCTATGCATAATATCTATCAATTTGAGGCATTCCTCATCAACAATCTTGCCCCACTCTGCTGCAACTCTCTCCCAAAGCTGAAATAACCCTATTGAGGATCTTGATAGACTGCAAGTGATATCTTAAGTAATTACCAGGGCTGTTCAATAGGGTTGAGGTCTAATGACTGGACTTGCCATGATAGCACACTGATGCCATGGTTTTCAAACCATTTTATGGTCAACTTGAAGTATGCTTAGGGTCATTATCTTGTTAGAAGATAATGTGTTCTTCATTAATTCTTGATTCTTGCATGCTTCTGAGCAGATACTTTTCCAAAACTGAAATGTGCTGCTTCACATTCATCCTCCCACCCACCTTACAGAGAATTCCTACTCCATTCCACCTCATACAACACCATACCATCAAATTTCCTATTCCATACTCTAGTGTTTTCTTGACCTTTCTTTCTTCTAGTAGTTCTTTTGCATTTCATTACATATATTCCTAGCTATCTGACCCCATCCTATTGATTTTTGTTTCATCTGACCAGGTAGCCCTATTCCAGTCCTCAACAGTCCAATATTGAGGCTTTAAAGCAAAGGTAAATCTCCTTCCTATATAGGCTGAAGACAGGACAGGCTTTTCTGCCTGTTTACAACTTTAAGATTGGCTGCCTTAAGAGTACCCCTGACTATTTGAGTGGAGAGAGCAGTATAGATGATGTCATTAATGAATTTGGTAGCTTGAGTAGCATTGGCAGCCTGCCTAGTTGGAATATTATGAACAAGAGATTTTTTGTTATATGATGTAAGCTTGAAAGGATAATCTAATTTGATATTTTTCTTATCTGGAATGACTTTTTTATGATCCTAATGATAGTAACCCTGCTCAGACAAGTTTTGGTGGCAATCTGCCTGGTATACAGATTAGAAAAGCTGATGATAATAACAATAGGGGCTATTTCAGCTGTGGGAGAGAGTTGCAGCAGAGTGAGGCAAGATTGTTGATGAGGAATGCCTCAAATTGATAGATATTATGCATAGAAGAGTGGCAGAAGTAATTAGAGCAACAGGAGGAAACACCAAGTACCAGAATTATAGAGATTGTGTTGGTCAAACTGAAAGTCAAAAGTGTCTCAATGAGTCACCAAATTAAATTGACCATATCTTCACTTGATGACATAATTTTCTCACACTGAAGGGATCAAACATAAAGCTTAGAAGCAGAGCTTTCCCACACCTCCCTATGGCTTAGTCATATTCTCACACCCTAGCTCATAATACAGCAATTACACAAAAAGTCACAAACATTGAGTCACTTTTTGAGCCACTGTACATGTACCATGAAGACTTGGGCTGGCATGCATATGCCAGGCGACCATGACCTGAAGGAGAGTACCCTTATCAGAGGGAATATTTGTATTATGGTGACTGTGGTGAACCTTACCCAGGATATGCTTATGCTCCTTACCATGAGAACCCAGGTTATTGTGATGCCAGTGGGAATAGACAGCCATATTATCATGACGCATGGTACACAGACCATGAACTTCTGGATGACTGTTCGCATGGACCTCCCCCATCAGACATCTGTGGAGAATACATGCATCCAGCTGGTCGTGAAGGTCAAGTTGGCTACTAGCATGCATATCAGTGTGAGGCTTTGACAGATGGGCATTGCAGGAGCAGGAGTCCCATTGCCAATGCAGTGCCAGGATCATCTGAAGGAGGGGCCATTCCAAGGTAAATCCAAGGTGTCTGTTGTCTCGATACTATGCTTTTGTACAATGTTCTGATCACTTGCTGCATGTAGAAAATACACCATGATTCATGTCTGATTTGGTGTGTGGGATAATCATCACAAAAAACGTGCAAAATTACATTTTGGCATATGAATACAAGATGATGTATAGTTAGTTGACATGTTCAACCAGGTCACTCATGACATGATGTGGCCACTCTATTACATAATGAGGCATGAGCAAAGAATTAGAGTAAGGTCTTCAGGCAAGTGGAAGGTGCCAGTAGCATCTTGTGTTTCCACTCACCCATCTCGCTCATAGACTCTAGTCCTATCAAGCATTTCTTTTCTCTTATTCTACCTCTCTACCTCTGCACCATACCTACATCATTTCTCCTCTTCAATTTTCCCTTTTCTCAAAACTAAGAACCCATAATAATAAATACCTCTGTCCTTCCAACATGGCCAGGATCACATCAGACCTGGCTCTGGATATCCAACCCGACTTCACATCTCCCACCTTTGAAGCTCTCAGAGACTGCATCATTGGTGGAACACAAGCATTGCACCAGGAAGTAGCAGCTGACCTCACCACAGCCTGGCAGCAGGACTGGGACAACAGAAGCATTGCATGGGTTGCGCAAGTCAATGAGGATGCTCGTCTCACAGCTGAAGCAGCACAAACAGCACATGAACACACAGAGCATGAACATCTTCACCTAGAACAAGAAACTGAAGATGAACTTCAGGAAGCTGAGAAGAAGAAGCCCAAGATGAACGATTTCAAGTGTGGAATGGTGGTAGGCGACACCCTCACCCCTCATCCATCTCAGTATGCCATACACAAGTTGAAGTCCTTTGAGTACATGGAGCTTTGGTATTTTAGCCCTGACAGTTGCAAGGAAACCTCAGATGAAGCAAAATTGTCAGCAGAGGACGCTTTTGGTTTCACAAGGGTTGATGACTTCATCACCCTCAAGCCAGTCACATCCTTCAAAGCATCCCACAAAGCCATTCAAGACCATAGCCTCAATTGGCACCAGTTCGACCTCACAAAGAACAGTTTCCTCCTCTACATCAACAAGCTGAACTGGCCTGAGAAGCGCCAATGGGCCATCACCATGTTCTTTATGAACATTGTGGTGCATCCCTGTAGGACTGAACCCTTTGGAGAATGCACTCTGCTCCTGTATGCAGCCTGCATTCATCAGGATTGGCATGACTCTCTAGTCCTCGACAATGCTTTTGACATCAGCATCTTCAATCTTACTTTGCTTAAAAACATGACAGAGGAAGTTTGGAACAAGTCACGTCTAGAAAGCCTCACAGAGGTCAGTTCCTCCCAAAAAGAGTCCCAGTGCTGCTTCCAATACTAACCACTACTGCTTTCCTGCTCCCTCTCTGTGAAACCTGCTACCTATCCGTGCTACCACTGCTTCCTCTTCCTCCACTTCCACTGCTACCACACTTCTGCTGCTTCCTCCCTACCTTTGCTTCTGCTCCTGCTGCCCCTCATACAGATGCAACTTGCGTCTCAAGCACAGCACCTCCCCAACCAAGACCAGGGTGCCCCACACCATCCCCAGGCCTGAGGAGGAAACCATCATATCCACTCTTGCTCTCGTTCCCCCCCACACAACACCTTTGGTCGCCTTCCTCCTCATCCCACCTCACTGCACTACCAGCGCACCAGACAAGACGAAAAGAAGCCTCCCCAAGACCAACAGTTTTTTCAGATTGGTGCAGCACCAAACGGCCATTATGCTTGTGCCTTGTGTCTCAGCCATTTCACCCACAACATCCACAAGTGCAAAAGTGAGGTTCTCTGGGACAGAAAGACTCCCACCTTCTGTCGTCAAAATGCCAAAGGCTGTCTCATCAATGCCTGGGGGCTCCAGCTATGCTATGATTGGCAGCATCCCAACAGTTGCACAAGCATCAGCAATGAGCACGTGCATGAATGTTCAGGTTGTGGAAACACAAACCATGGTGCTTAGAGCTGTCCTTGAGGACAGGATGCTTAAGGTGCTCACCCCATACAACCTGGAAGCCTGGCATGTCGCCCTTATGAAATCCAGCCTCATACTTAAATATCCCCATATTCCCCATTTGTTACAGTATGGTTTCTTTGGCAGTATCCCTATCATTACAGTCACCCTTACCCCGCCTAATAACCCTTCTACCATTGAACACACTAATGCTTTTGCCATGATCCTCATCAGGGAATTTGAGACCAGATGCTACCTGGGTCCACTGCCAAGAGCAACCCTGGAGTCAGTCATTGGACCCTTCCAAACTGCACCTCTCTCCCTTATCCCAAAGCCAGGCAAGCCAGGAAAATATCACCTCATCCAGAACTTATCGCACATCTCTCACTATCCTTTGCACTCAGTCCAATCTATTAATTCTCACATTGACTCGAATCTATACCCTTGCACATATGGCACTTTTGCCACAATATCTCTCTTGGTCTGGCATCTCCCTCCTGGCTCTGAAGGAGCCACTCACGATGTGGCTGAAGCTTACAGAACAATTCCCTTGCACCTGTCTCAGTACCCAGGCCTTGTGGTCCAGACAGGAGAAGATGAGTTTGCAGTCGATACCAGTTTCTGCTTTGGATGTTCATCAGCAGCTGGAACTTACAGGGGCCTTGCAGATGCAGGCACAGATATCCTTTGCAGCAAAGGTGTCAGCCCACTCTCAAAGTGGGTCAATGATCATCTATTTTTCTGCATTCTGCTTAAACACCTGGACAGTTACAATGAGCAGAGATCAACCTGGGCACGTGGTATCGCTACCAATGGAGGCATGCGCTCTGACGGAGGCAGAAGATGGTATCATGGGATCACCTTCCCAGATGAATGATCAGAGGAGTTCAATGAAGATTGTATCTTCCCAATTCTTGACCTTTCACAGTGGTCCCCACGTTCTCCCAGAGATGCCAAGTTCTCCTATTGCCTGGATGATGTCACCTTCTTCTCTGCACAAACCAGAATGCCATGGGAACCCTCCAAGGATATCCCTTTCAGCTCTAATCCACCATTCATGGGTTTCACTTGGAACTTGGACTCTCGCACAGTGAAACTCACAGCCAGGAAGAAGGACAAGTATCTGGCTGTGATTGCTGCCTGGGAAGCGCAGCCTCATCACACTCTCGCTGAAGTTCAAAAGCTCCATGGTAAGCTGTTGCACACCGCACTCATTGTTCTTGCTGGCAGAGCCTATCTCACCAAGCTGGAAGCCATGCTCCCAATCTTTGGTGACCATCTGTTCATTCCTCACTCCCCACCCCAGAACTGCCCTGCTGACCTCAGGTGGTGGACTGCAACTCTCTGTCAGCCCACCATTCACAGGACCATCTCTGGTCCCTGTGAAGTACTTGACCCAAACACCTTCTCAGATGCTAGCTCAGGTGTGGGCATTGCAATTTGGATCAACAGTTGGTAGAGAGCATGAAGACTCATCCCTGGCTGGAAAACTGACAATCGCAACATTGGATGGGTGGAAGCCATCAGTTTTGAGCTCCTCATCCTCACCATCATTCATGCTCCCAAGCCCAGACCAATCCCTTATGTTAAGGTTTATGGAGACAACCAGGGAGTTGTTGAGGGCTGGTGGAAAGGACACAGCTGGAATTGCACAACTAATGGCATTTTCAAACACATCTACAGTATCACAGAATCTGTGGCCTCCACTGTCCTCACATGATACATTCCAAGCGCCCTCAACCCAGCCGATAATCCTTCCTGTGGAAAGTACCCTCCTTGCTCCCTACTTCTGCCCCCCATTCCTATCGATCCCACTCTCAGGAACTTCATCGTCGACTTCAATGCCCCTCTACACCCAGCCGAGACCCACAGACTGTTTCCCCAAGTCTCACTTCACGCTCCCACCAAAGCCCATTTCCAACCAGCTCATGCAGAGTGCACCCTCACAAACTGGTAACTTGAGAGACAAGGAGAGGAATTGTTCAAAGTGTTGGAAGCATACCTATCCTGCTGACCTCACCCCATGCATCTCAGCTCTCCGCCCTCACTGCACCACAAGAGACCGTCTCCAGATGTGGCTCTCAGCTTCCACCAGACTCCCCCACAGCTCCCTTGCTTCCCGCAACATGGTAAGGATCCAAGAAGTTATGATTCACGCTTGGGCTGAAAGCACTTGCGAGTCATATGGCTCTGGCCTGCTCATCTTCCACATGTTCTGTGATGCTCGGTCAATCCCAGACCATGACCGTGCACCAGCCAGCTCCATCCTCATCACAGCCTTCATCGCATTCATGGCAGGCTCTTACTCAGGGAAGACCATAGCTAACTACGTTTTCAGCGTCCGCACCTGGCACATCCTACATGGTCACCAGTGGGTCCTGAACAACGAGCAGATTGATTCCCTCCTCAGAGCAGCTGACAATCTCACCCCCAGGTCCTTGAAGCGCAAGAAGAGACGCCCTTACACCATCGAGTTCATCTGCATGCTGTGCAACAAGCTTAACCTCAAATCTCCCCTCAACTCCTCAGTCTACAGCTGTCTGACCACCACCTTCTTTTGCACAGCTAGGGTCAGCAAATTCACCATACCCACCCTCATAGCCTTTGACCCCAACACTCATGTTAAGCCATCTGATGTCTGCACCGAACGCAACCATAGTAACCTCAAAATGAGAGTATTCCACATCCCACGCACAAAGACAGCAAGAGACGGAGAAGATGTTTCCTTTGCCAGGCAGAATGGTCCCACAGACCCTGAGCAAGCCTTCCTCAACCATTTGAGAGTCAATGACCCTTCTCCCAGTTCTGCGTTGTTCTCTTATTGCCACAAGAAAGGCCACTGGGTACTCACAAAGCAGAAATTCATAGCGCATCTAGCAGAGGCAGCTAAGGCCACTGGGATGGACCCTTTGCAAGGGCATGGTATTTGCATCGGCTCAACTCTTGAATACTTGCTGCGCAATGTCCTGTTCAAAGTTGTCAAGACGAAGGGGTGCTGGGCCAGCGATGCATTCCAGTTGTACCTGTGCAAGCATGTGCAAATCATGGCACCTTACATGCAAGCCACTCCCACAATTCATGAGGAATCTGTCCGCATCTCCATGCCTAGGGTCTGCTGAACCCCTCTGTCCTTCCTGTAAGCAGTCACTTCCTCCTACCTGTCTGGGTTTCTGCGACTTTGCTGCGATGTGTTGTTATTGACTCCTAACTTCTCAGGGATTTGCAGCTCACCTTTTTCTCTTGGTTAGATCTCTGATTGGGGCCAGAAAGCACTGCGCACATTCACCCACTCACTTAGTAGCCTGTTGTGTCATTTGCATAGTCATCTTGAACAAATATATTAAATTTTCCGAGTTTCCTCTCCTTCACTTGTGCATCCTAGTGCCAACCCTAAGACTACCCATACATGGCACACAGAAGTGTTTCCAAAATTAGTGAGATGTTCTCAACCATTCAACTACTCCACTTGACTACCAACCACTCCCATGATGCCACTGCCACAACTAGTGAGCACAACTTCTTATTGTAAATGCCTCTATGGATCAGTCAGTACCTACAATGCACTCCCTGAACCTCAGAACAAGATTGCTATGGATAAGCTCTTGGAGGAAGAATTCATCAGTACTGTCTTATGGGAAGAAAAATCACTCCCCAAAGATGCCAAGTCTGTTATGGATACCCTTATCTTACAGACTGATTTCACTCTAGCATCTCTCAGCAAAATTTTCTATTTCAAGTCTGGGCAAGGAGGGAAGAGGGTTAAGAGTGGGTCTATCTTTCAACCTGCTGCATGCCATGGCACAAATGCAGAATGGCTGTTCGATGACAGGAATGTCCAGCCTAAGTTGTTGGTAGACTCCAGAAAACAGAAGAAGAAGGTGCAGGTACAGAAGGGACAGGGACAAAAGGCAGGGAGGGCACAAAAGTCACAACCACACACACACAGATGAGCATGGTGTTGGCCACATTGACCAATACAGAAGTGGAGATATTGGATTTGTCTTTCACAATGCCTGAAACCGACAAGAGCTTTGGTGCCAAAGGATATGACAACAAGCACCCCAACAAGCAGCCTCAGGCATCAGTGACAACAGAGGGCAAGTGGACCCTCCTCTTCAACATCTTGCAAGCTGCCATGCACATGATGTACAAGAAAATTTTCCCTAATCCCTCAGCTGCATTCCCCTTTTGTGCCATGAACATTATTGGTGGCCTGCTGATGCATATTTGGTCCTCCCAATTCTGTAATACTCCTGTCCTGGATGACACCAATGCGCAGAAGCCAGATGTTATTCTGGTGGATTGCAATCTACACAACGTCTCATTATGATGGTGCAATATTATTACATGCATGGAGCACACAGAAAGCAAACTCGGCTCATCCATACCTTTGTATTATGGTAGCAGCACTAAAGGGTACCTGTTGATGCAAGAGCATCCTTGGCACCAGTTCATCTTGATTTTTACTATCACCAATAACCTGCTTCGCCTTCACTACTTTGACCACTCAGGTCTGATCATTTCACACCCCATCAATATCCTCAAAAATCCTGTGTGTCTTCTTGAGGTTTTAAACACCTTAACACTCACACACAGCAACAACCTCGGGTACAATCCCACAATGCATATGTGCGATCCTACCTGCAAGGGCTTGCATGCCGATCTGCGGCAGAATGCCATAGGCTGGATAGAAAACCATGATACAGTGACTTGCAAAACTGTTACAATGTTTGGTACTTTTTCAGTGTACACAATATAGTGCCTATGCACGTGGGAATCATGCTTAGTGTTGGTGGGGGCGTGTGAACTACAAACCCTTGGCTACAGACTGACACTTGGACCACGTGATTTGGCCAAGGGGATGTGAAGATATGCCTATTTTAAGACAGAGATACCATTGTAACAGTTTTGCAGCTGTTATATAGATGGTGGGATCTTGGTCAAATCAGAGGATGGTTACTGTTATTTGCTTATACAAATAGAAATATACATAAAAATATTATGTCTGAGTTTGAAATTGCTCCCATGCTTCTTTATTTTTAATCATTACCACCATGGGATCTCTCTCTACTACTCAAAAGAATACCATTCTCTTTTAGCTTAATGCTGGTCATTCTATTCACTCTATTGCCTCCACAACTGGTGTCAGCACTACTACTATCTCCAAGCTTCATTAAAAAGAGTGTTCCTACTTGCAAAAGTTGACTGGTGATCATTCAACCAAGCTTTCCTCAGTCAATATTTGTCATCCTATTTGTTTCATCTTCACTCAGCAGGCAGAAACTGCTATCCAAGTGCTCAAATCTTTTTCAAATATTGTCAATTAGCCCCCCAACCCAAGCACCACTTTCTGCTACCTGAAAAAGCTATGATGAGGGCTGTAGTCAAGTCCAAACACTCTACTGTCTGCAAAATATTGCAAAGCACACTTAGACTTTGCCTATACTCACAAAAATTGGACTTTAGAGGACTGGAAGTTGGTCATATGGTCTGATGAAACCAAAATTAATCACCTAGGGTCAGATGGTTGCAAATGGGCTTGGAAAAAGTCAGGAGAGAGGCATAGTGACAGATTGGTATAAGGAACTATCAAGTTTAATGGAAGTTCTGTGATGATATGGGGCTGTATGACCTGTGAAGAAGCTGGCTATGCTGCTAAGATTGATGGTAGAATGGGTGGAGATCTTTACCTTCAAATTTTGAAGGATAAACTTCAGAATTTCCTGGAGTTTTATAATCATAATGCTTCTGATGTCATCTTTCAGCAAGACAATGACCCTAAGCATACCTGCAAAAAGGTCAAGAAGTGACTAGATGGGCAGGAATTTAGGACTATGATGTGGTCTGCACAATCTCCTGACCTTAACCCATTGGAATATCTCTGGCACCTTGTCAAAAGGAGACTTGCAGAGTATAAGCATTCTCCTAAGGAAATAGTAGCAATGGTTGGGAATAAAGAAGCATGGGAGCAATTTCAAACTCAGACATAATATTTTTATGTATATTTCTATTTGTATAAGCAAATAACAGTAACCATCCTCTGATTTGACCAAGATCCCACCATCTATATCAACAGCTGCAAAACTGTTACAATGGTATCTCTGTCTTAAAATAGGCATATCTTCACATCCCCTTGGCCAAATCACGTGGTCCAAGTGTCAGTCTGTAGCCAAGGGTTTGTAGTTCACACGCCCCCACCAACACTAAGCATGATTCCCACGTGCATAGGCGCTATATTGTGTACACTGAAAAAGTACCAAATATTATAACAGTTTTGCAAGTCACTTGTAAATCCCATCTATCAATCATGAGCATGCTTTGGCAAAGCCAAGGTTTCTTTTCTTGTGGTACCATTTGTTCTCGTGTTCAGACCTCAGATGGGATGGAGTATGCACTCAAAGACTGTTGGGTCGCTGAGGACAAGAAAAACCACGAGGTGACCATTCTCAAGATGGTTGAAGGAATCCCAAATGTAGTCAAGCTTGTGGCCCATTGGAATGTCCTCTATGATGGGGAGCCAGACTGCACATATCATATTCGAGCTTCCCATGGTGTTTGTACCTCTGGGTTTATTCGCAGATTCCACCAGCACCTTCTGTTGACCCCCTGTGGAGAACCACTTGTGCTCTACTCCTCAAAGCTTGAGCTGTTGAGAGCCTTCCATGACTTTGTCTCAGGTGAGTCTCAAGTGTGTTGAAATTGAATCCTGAGACTGACCCATCAGTGTTTAGCTTATAGTTTAATGCTCACAAGTCACGTCCTCCACAGAGACTTGAGTCCAAATAATTTTATCATCCATGATGGACAAGGTTATTTTATTGACTTTGATCATGCTCGCATGATTGCGGAAGGCACTGTTAGTGTTCCTTCAGAGGGCATGGTAAGTGATACTTACAATTTTCACAGCATGGCACATGGCTGAGCATGTTATCTGAAGGGTATGGCCCTATATGTCAATTCATCTTCTCCAGGAGGGTATTGCAAAGGGTGCAAAGATCCAACACACAGCAAGTGATGACCTGGAGTCATTGTTTTTTATCTTCATTGAATTTGTGACCACCTTCTGTTATGAACTAGGATAGTTCTAATAACAGATGACTCAATAAGAGTCAGGACCTCTGCCAAGATTCTACGCAAGACAATAAGTCAAGTGTTCAGTGTAGGCTAAGACAGAAGGAGTGCTTCTATCTTAAAGTAGAGCCCCTTCAGTGACAAACTCCGTATTATACAGGTCACCTGACCTACATAATATCCTGTATAAGACAGGCCAGCGGACTATGGGCCAATGTTATGTATATCCTTGATGTTGATGGGTGGGCTGGGAGGGATATTATTTCCGATGGGGATGGGTGGGCCCATCTATGCCAATGTTATAAAAATGATGGCAGATGGGCCAGAAGAAATATTATTACCAATGGAGATGGGTGGGCCCATCTGGGCAATATGTAGAGTAGGATAGACATATATTATAGACAGCTGGGCTGAAGAGAGATGTATGGTAGATATTATTATATAGATGGGTGGGCCAATGTATTAGTATTATTTGTAGACAGGTGGGCCGAGGTGGGGGTTATATTAGATAGACGGGTGGGCTGATGTAGGGTATATTAGATAGATGGGTGGGCCGACGGAGGGGGATGTCATATAAATGGGTGGGTCAATGTAGGGTATATTAGATAGATGGGTGGGCTGATGGGGTGGGGAAATATGTATTATATATACAGGTGGGCCAACGTAGGGTATATTAGATAGATGGGTGGGCTGATGGGGCAGGAAATATGTATTATATATACGGGTGGGCTGACGTAGGGTATATTAGATAAATGGGTATGCCCAAATACATATCATTTAGACATATGGGCCAAGGTATTGGTATACTATATGGACATATGAGCAATGCTGTTGCACTAGTTTTGATCTGAGTCATCAATGACATTCAGACTCAGATCCTGTCAACGTTGATCAAAGTCAACACAGTGAGTACCAAGTCCCAAAACCCAAACATCGAACCCTGACCATCGAAACCCAAAACCCAAAACTTCAAAACACCAACATCAAAACTCAAAACTCAAAACTCAAACATTTGTATGACTGTCAAGTTTCCTGTCTTGAATCACTGAGGCCTGCATACCAAATGCCGACACCTGAAGTTGTGTTGGTAGTTGGACTTCAGGACTTGGTGATTCAATACTCAAAAGTCATACCAATATCTGAATTTCAAGTTTCAAGTTTCGAGTTTCAAGACTCAAATCACCGAGTCCCAAGTCCTGAACATTGAAACCCGACACCTGAAACTTGAAAGTCATACTGATATCTGAATTTCGAGTTTTGAGTTTCAAGACTCAAATCACCAAGTCCCGAAACCTGAAGCCCGACACCTGAAACTTGAAAGTTGTAAAAATGTATGAGTTTCAAGTTTCGAGTTTGAAAATCAATACTCAAAACTCATACATTTTTACAACTTTCGAGTTTCGAGACTCAAATCACCGAGTCCCGAAACCCGACACCCAAAACTTGAAAGTTGTAAAAATGTATGAGTTTTGAGTATTGATTTTCAAACTTGAAACTTGAAACTCATACATTTTTACAACTTTCAAGTTTCGGGTGTTGGGCTTCAGGTTTCAGGACTCAGTGATTCAAGTCTTGAAACTTGAAACTTGAAATTCAGATATTGGTACAACTTTCAAGTTTCGGGTGTTGGGCTTCAATGTTTGGGTTTCGGGACTTGGGACTCAGTGATTTGAGACTCAAAACTTGAAACTCATACATTGTTACGACTGTTGGGTTTTGAGTTTCAATCTTTGTTTCTAACTTTCAGGTTTCACTACTCAGTACTTGAGACTCAGTGATTGAATAAATGGACTGGCAGAGGTAACATTCATTGGAAAACTTGTACATATGTCTATCACTATGCAATTATGTAGCCATGTCAACCTCCTCAGAAGACACTTCAACCTCAACATCCATGTCATTGGAAGAATCATATTCTGGGACCAGGTTGCCCGGATTACCCAGGTCCACAATTTCGCTGGATGTATCTGGAACCTCTGGTTGAACAACCCGGTTGTACTCAAACAGGAGGCCCTCAATGGCAGAGGCATCCTCAAATTTTGGGGGTGTGGGCATCATCTCTCCAATCAAGAGATCAATGAGAGGGGGGAGTGCAGATGCAGATGGTGACATGGTCAGGGGGATGGATTGATCAAGCAACAAGGATGTTGCATTGGCCAGAGGTTCGGGAAGTGGGAATGCAGGGTGCCAGTTGACAATTTCGCACCTAAGGCCTTCATGGAGGTGTTGCAGGGTATCAATCTTACCATCCTGCTCTGCCACACGAGCCTCAAGAATGGTGATGCGAGCTGTGCCATCCTGAATCACAATTGCCATGGCATGGAGATCCGGCATGGGCAGGTCAAGTGCTGGAGCAGGGACTGCCAGACTGGGTGCTGGAGCAGGGACTGCCAAACTCGAAGATGGAGGTGCTACAAGGGAAAATAATGGTCAGATGGTGATGAAACAAAACTTGGGTGACTTATGAGCTGGTGCAGGTGCGGGTGCCTTGATGGCAGTGATGGTCTTGCTGCGACCATGCGTCTGGGTCTTGGGGGTTGTCACAGCAGTGACACCCAGAGTTCTGGACTTGCCACGAGACTGACTGCGAGTCTGGGCCTTGGATTGGGAGGTGGGGGGAGCTTTGGAGGGAGCCTTGGAGGGCGTCCTGGACCTTGTGTTCCAGGTGGTAGAGGACCCACAAACACATTTCGGCGGGGTACCCATAGTCGCTGGGATGCACTTGACCTTCTTTGTTGTGCAGCGGACACACAACATGCATGGATTCCCAGTCCTCTTGTCCAACTGAGTTGTGCAGGGCCACTTTAGCTTGGTGCAAGCCTGGCATGGGTTGTTCTGTGGATTGTGTTAGTGAATGGACACTTTCAAATAAATCAAAGTACTCACTGGTCCGGGAATGAGAATATCACCTCCATTGATGACTGGGGGTGCCTCCACCAGGCTTTTGGGAGTCAGCTGGGAGGGCTTGATGACCGCCAGGTGACTGCTGGCAATCACCTGGTACAGTGTGAGCATACACCTGAGTCCCAGATGCATAAATGTGACTTACTGTAGTGGGGCCAAAGGGCTTTTTGGTCAGAACCCAGGGTGATCTAGGCGAATTGGAGAGCTGGGGAAGGATGACTTCCAGCACTCCACCCAACAATGGCTACAAGAAACTGTGAGCCAAGTCAAAGACAAACCAGATGACATACCTGAATACCCACGTCTTCCTCATCTTCTGAGTCCACTAGGGGCTTGGACGTCACCCAGCGAGAGGACTTTGCATGCTTGCAAGTCTTCATTGCAGACTTTGGCAGTTGGGAGGAGAGTCCTGAAATCATGGGAGACTTCCTCTTCCAGCTCCCTTCCACCTTGGGCTCCAGGTCAGCATCAATGGCCTTACCTTTCCCCTTGTCCCAGAACTCGGTGGTGGTGCCGGTGGAGGGACCAGTGACATTGCTGGCACAGATGGGTGGGGAGGGAAGGTCCACTGGAATCGGACCTGTGGAGGGAGGAGCAGCAACTGGGAGATCAAAGGTATGGTCACCTAAGGCCTTCCAGGTGAGGAGCTTAGGGTGCCAGACATGTGTCAAGAGATGGGGATTGTTGTACCTGATGTTGTGCCAGTTGGGCCAGACCTGGGGAGTCATGCCCTGGATACACAATAGCTCCTTGGAGCATGAAAGCACAATGCCAGGCAGGGGTCCAGACCCATAGTCCTTGATCACTTGAGCCTGCCTGGATGTTAGAGAGAGAAAAAGAAAAGAAAAAAGAAAGCTACATACCACAAGTGAACTGACCTGTGTTGTCAGAGAAAAGTGGCTGTTACCTAGGGGAATCTGCCAGGCGCTGCTGATGATGGCCATGATCTGGGCAGTGGATGCCTTGAGACCAGTCAAAGAGTTGTCAACTGGAGTGGACATGATGATTGAGTTGAGAGATTTAAAGGTCTTCAAATAGGGTTGAAATCAGTTATCACAAGGATGAAGTTTCAAAAGAAACAACACATTTGATGGATGATTGATAAAATCATTGATTGTTTGTCTTTGTTTGGTCCCAGTTCAATTTCTGGCAATTGCCAGTTTTGTGTTGAACTTCGAAGTTTTTTCAATTATCAGTCAACAAATCAGTAAGTTCCCCACACAACATGAGTCCACAGTCAGCCATTTGATTCAATGACCCTCCAGTGACCAACTACAATTCAATGGATGTGGATGAGTCCACTGTGTCCCAGGCATCACTAGGTGTGTTGTATTTTTATCATGCCTTATCTATTTACTGGATATCCCTTAGATGATCTATACCTAGGGCCGGATGATGACATAGAATATGATTCTCCGTCATCTGGATCACCAGATGTCTTGGCTGCAATACCCGGCGAGTTGATCCATTCATTAGGATCGAGGATCACCATGCATGCTCACTAACCCCTTGCAGATCAATCACCTCCAGCTCAAGCTGATCATCCAGGTTTTCTCATCAATCCAGACTTGTACCTCGGGCCTGAGGATGATATCATTGATGTGGATGAGTTGCTGGATTCTGCCAATCCTAAGATTGATGTTCTGGCTGCATCAGAAGCATCTATGTCATGTGAGTCCATTCATTCCAGAGGATTATAGATGCTTATTGTATCTCCCAAGTGGATGACACCTCTAACGAACTTCAGTCAGAGCAGCCAGAGCTCACTAACAAAGATTTATGTTTGATGGCCTGGGAGTTCTGACCATTCAGGTCATATGAACACACTGGGTGTGAGTATCTGACCAAGCAGATCATTTATCTCTGTGCTAATTTGTCTGCAAGTGCAATCCGTTCAAGATCAACTTGGTGATTACAAACACTGTACCGGGAATCTTCCTGATCCTTCCATTCCACTGCTACTCAAGGCCAAGCAACCCTTCCGGATGGCTTGGGCAGAAACTTCCAACAAACTCAGAAGAGCTGATGCGGACCTCCAGAGGTTGCAAAGAGCCCAACGGATGAGCATTGAAATGCTCAAGGTAGTAGATTCACTGATCAATCAGTTTGAAGATCAGATTCAAATGTAAAGTACCGAATGTTTGATAGTAGTCAAACCACATGTAAACTTCTGAATTTGCGATGCATTCCTCTTCCATTTCCAATTGAGTTCTGGAGGCTCAGGAGTCCCAGGTATCAAACATGGAAGTTTAAGTCTCACTTTGGCTCACCAAGTCCCAAGTGTCAAACACTGAAGTTAAATTCTCACTGTCCAGAGGATCGCCGAGTCCTGAATTTGATCTTTGAATCAAACTCAGGACTCGGCGATCCTCTGGACAGTGAGAATTTAACTTTGGTGTTTGACACTCAGGACTCAGTGAGCCAAAGTGAGACTTACACTTCCATGTTCAACACCCAGGACTCCTGAGCCATGAAGATTGAATAATATTGACATGTACATAAAGGCAGGCAGTGTAGTATCAGTCCATTACTTCTTTCCCCTTGCTCTTGTCACTTGAGAGGTATTGTCTGATGGCTGTTGAGTTGATTTACTCCGGGTTGTCCTTGCCGATGGCTCAATCACTGGTTTTTTTCCCCACATGTTTTTTGGCACTGGAGACGTGTGCCCTCCTTCCATTCCAACATCCTCCTCAACATTGCCAGTGACTCTGTCAGTCAACCCAGCCAGGAGGTCACCCATTTGTGATGTCAGCAGTGCACCAGTTTTCGCTGGCTTGACCAGGTGAGGCTTTGGAATTGCATGTGGGACTGCTGTCCCTTCAGGTGCTGTTGAAGGATCTGGGTCTCTTCTGGGTCTCTTTTGTGGGGATCTACCATTGGCTGCATCATCATCAACATCATCCTCCATGTGATGAGAGTCACTCTCGGGATTACTCCTGGGATCGCTCTTGGTGTCAGTTGATGAATTCCGAGGCCTTTGGATCATCTGCTTTCTGACTTTATGAGTCCAATGAGAAGGTGAATTCCTGGACACAACCAATGCTACCATGTCTCTGTCTTTGTTCTTCCATGCTTTGAACAGGAATGTTGGTCCTTCGCCTTTCTCCTGCTGAGCATGCCAGAAATTGAGTAAGGCCATAGTGTCCCAATTTTGCAACTTGGAAGGCTCCTTCAAGTCCACATCTGCCGGAACATACTTCCTTGCCACAAAGTCATCCTGACTTTGTATGATGGCGCTCCATGGCATGACTGCCTTGTCACTCCTGGAACAGATCCCTGTGTCCATGCATTCAACAAATTCTTGGGTGTTGCGACGATAGACTCACAATAGTGCAATGTAAGAAATGCCCTCACTATGGCCTTCTTCTCCTTGAGTTTCGTTTCAGTGATGTCCGGAAGCAATGGCATCCCATCTCCATCAGTTTCCAGTTTGAAAGCAGGCTTTCTGATTCTTTTTCGACCTCCCTTCATCTGTCATCCTCCATCCTGTGCCCCGGCACCTATCATCACGATGATCAACAAATTCCTTCTAGTAGCCAGAGTTAAAACACTTACTGAACTGTTCCTGCACGTACTCCTGCCAAACCAGCTCAATGTCCTCCCAGTCCTTCATCTTCATGAAGCTGTCCCCATCTCCTAATGCCTCATTATCATCATGCCTGCATGACATAAATTGAGATTGAAGATCTGCGATGGCCAACACATTTCACTTACATCCCGAACAGCACCTCTCCCTGTTCATTCTTCCAAGCCAACATCACAAACACTCTCATCCTGCATTGCCTCCACATCTCCTTCAAAAAGTACTCTATATATGCAGGTCCCTTCTTACGAGTGACTTGTGCCTGTATCTCGGGAGGAGGAAAGTTGTTAGACCATTCTTCAGCTGTTTCCTTTGCCTTCTCCAACTCGTCATTGGACAATTCAGCCATGACTCTCTTCATGGCCGCCTGGTAATGCTTGAACATACCGGGACCTCCTGGCTTTGCCCCAGACTCGTCCTCGATCCTCTTTAGCACCTCTTCCCAGTTCCACTGGTAGATCACCATCCTAGGCATCCATTTCCTCCCATACTTTATCATGTCCTTCCTTTCCTTCTTTTTCCTGTTGTTGAACAACCAAGTCTTGTATATCTGAGCATTGATGGAAGAATAAGATATTAAAATTTTAGTTTGTCAACACAGCGAGGATGAATCACCTGCTTCCTCTTCTTCCATTGTGCTTGGTCAACCTTAGGAGCAAATAACCTGGCAGCCCTAGCTATGGCAGTGAAAACTGCTCGCTTCTCTTTCTGTTTTGCCAAAGTCCACTCAGGAAGGTAGTTCTTCAACTCTGAAATTTTGTTTTCCGTGAGCTTCTGTGTCTGTGGTTGACATGCCCTATGTCTTCCAGAAGTCAACTGAGTGGAGTGACCTGATCTTGCCATGGTGAATGAGATTGCAGAATGGGCTGAGGATAAGCAAGGTGAAAGTAATAATGGTGACAAGTTGAACTTTGAGCAAAGCCTAACAGTTGGTTAATTGACCCATATTGGATGCAATGCCATTAGTGGAAATGAATTTGTAATGATGCATCAAGACTGCATAACATCATATTGCAACAACAATTCATTCAACCTTCCTGAGCTAATGCTTTGCTTGCAACATCAGAAAATAAGATGAAGATAGGTAGATGCACCCCACTGCAAAAATCCCACAGGGTAGAAGCAAGGGGCAGCAAGGGTAGGAAAACTTGGGTCAAGGTCCCACTTGCAAGCACAAAACAACATGCCTACAGGTCCATGCCTGACTCTCCCCCAGAATCACCAACACTTCAGCCTGTTAAGGCACCACCTCCTTGGGAAGACTTTCCTGACAATGCTTACAAGCATGACCAAGGCTCATTTGAGCCTTTGCAACTCCCAAAAACCATGGCAAGTTCATGTAAAATGTTGGATTGTCATTCAAATGATAGCTAAGCATAAAAAATGCAGAGTCAGAATGACTACCTCAGGCAATGGCTGCCAAGGCAGGAATCATATCTGCATCACCTCCTGGATCAAGAAGCTCCACCAGAAGATAGGAGATGCGTCATCTGCAACCAGGATGGGGTCTACAAATGTCAAGATTGTCTTGGGGAGCCACTATATTGCACTGGCTGTTGCAGAAGTCAACATCATTGCAATCCTTTCCACTGGATCAGTCAATGGAATGGTCAATTCTTTGAGCAGAGTTGTCTTGCCCATGTCAGACTTGTCATACACTTCAGTCATGATGGCAAACAATGTCCAGTCCTCACAGATAGGTGGGTTTTGTTCGAAGAAGACAAGCATGAAGACCAGCTTGAGCCTGATGATCAACCATCTGTGTTGGGACCCAAGTTCCAGCCAAAGGAAAATATCATGGTCATCATTGACAAGTCCAGAGTTCATCATCTCAAGGTTTGATGCTGTGATTGTCCAAATGCCATGAGTCCAGACATTCAAATGTTTCGACATGGATTTTTCCCCGCATCATTTAACAAGCCAAAGACTTTGTTCACCTTCAGGGTGCTCGATGATTTTCTATTGGACAACCTTGAATGCAGCACCTTGGCGATGAACTATTACAGCAAGCTCCAGCGAATGACCTCGAGCATGTTTCCACATCTTGTTCTGGTAATGCCAAATCTCCAACATCTAAAGGACATTATATTGACACAGCACATGGCAAGGACTGATACAGAGAGCTCATGAGAGTCACTCAACAGTGGAGGCAGTTGAAGGCCATGAAATGGCATGGATTTGGCCATTGTTCCAACAACCCAAATGCAGGAGATCTTGCATTGTTTTGCCCTGCATGTCCTCAGCCTGGGATTAACATATCCTTGTCAGGGGATGAATCACTTGATGAGTGAGTCTAGTTTGATACCAAAGTCACCTCAGCTATAATAACGACTCCAAGCTGGAAATACACCTGGTCATTTGTTATGGACAGAAATTTCAAAGCAGAACACCTGCATCCCATCAAGCCATTTGATGAAGTGTGGCTTTCCGATGGGTTGGGATTCATGGTGGGAAAGGACAGGTATAAAACCCATCTTGTGGAGGCTGCTGACACATTGGAAAAATCAAGCTGCAACAATCACCGGGCGGTGAATCAAGCAAATGCGGCTCAGCACAAGCTGGAGTCCACAGGAATCAGGGGAGTTGCCTGTGCCCGACACAGTTGCTTTGTCCCTCACTCGATGGTAGATTTTCAGAAAGGCGAAAGGCAAGCCAACCATGCCATTCTACATTAACGAGTTAACAGTGCATCATTTGCAGACAAATGAACATGGATTATGCCCTTTGCGAGGCTGTCCAGCACAATATGGAAGGCATAACCAGGGCTGTCACCTTCTATGACATCAACTGTCAATACAACAAGCACTTTCGGGTTCAGGTGGATCAAAGCCAATTTCTCGAAATGGTTCTGGAATTGACCATCATTCCTGGAATTGGGTTGTGGCATGTCCACAGACATCAGGACAGCTGCTATGTCCGATATGTGTCGAATTTTATTGAAGGCATCGGTCAGATCGATGGTGAGATCATGGAGACCCTATGGTCGTGTCTCAACCTGATTTCCCCTGCTGCTCAGGGAATGTCATCCCCACATCAAAAGGAATGTCTTGATTATCAGATGAACGATTCCAATTTCTGCAAGATGATCTGCATGAAAAGGACTCTTTGCCATAAATACAAGCAGGCAAAGAATGGCATTGCCGAAAATGAAAAGGCTTTCAACAGACTCAATGAAGCAGTGCCCACAGCTTCAAAGAAAGAATGGTTAGCCAGCGAGAGGATCACTCAGTCCAGCAGAATAAATGATCCTGTGGCAATGGATGTACAGTGGCTCAAAAAACTGTCCACATGTTTTTGCATTTTTTACTATTTACAATATTGTGTGAGAATACATAAAGACCTCAGTGACATGCTAATACCATATTGTAGTGCTGCTTCAGGGCTTTGGATTGAGCACCACATCGTGAGAATCAGAGGAGATATGGTGGAGATACAAGGCTTACAAAATCATGACTCATGTGGACAGTTTTTTGAGCACATATTAAAACTATATAAATCATCATTTATGACACCATAACAATCATGCCACCATTAAATAAATTATAAAGTGGTGTCATTATGTCATTTTAAAACCATATCTAACTATACAAACCAAAAATTCCCATATGTCATGGTTATATTCACCATGAAAGCCACCCCCCCTGCTCAAAGGGATAATATCCTCTCTCTTTCCTATTCTGGCCTCTCTGCTTGTCAAATTTCCTCTAGAACTGGAGTATCCAAGTCCACTGTGGCCAAGTTCATCAAAGAAAGTCACACAGACAAGGAAAACTTCTGTGAAGGGCGTCCATCCAAGCTCACCTCTACTGATAGGAGGGCTATTATTCAACATATCACTACAGGAAAGGCTGATAATGCTGTCCAGGTCACCTATTACATCAATTCCACCATCACATTCCCTGTCTCTTCACACACTGTGAGAAACATTCTCAAGACAGCTCATCTCAGGTCAGTAACAAGGAAGAAAAGGCTCTCCTCTCTATCACACATATGCAGAGATGACTAACCTTTGCCTTAGCCCATCAGAATTGGATTACATGGACTGGAAGCATGTTATATGATCATATAAGACCACAATAAATAGGATTGGGTCAGATGGCAAGGTATATATGTGAAACAAGAAGGGTGCTAGTCCTCTCTGCATATGTGTGATAGAGAGGAGAGCCTTTTCTTCCTTGTTACTGACCTGAGATGAGCTGTCTTGAGAATGTTTCTCACAGTGTGTGAAGAGACAGGGAATGTGATGGTGGAATTGATGTAATAGGTGACCTGGACAGCATTATCAGCCTTTCCTGTAGTGATATGTTGAATAATAGCCCTCCTATCAGTAGAGGTGAGCTTGGATGGACACCCTTCACAGAAGTTTTCCTTGTCTGTGACTTTCTTTGATGAACTTGGCCACAGTGGACTTGGATACTCCAGTTCTAGAGGAAATTTGACAAGCAGAGAGGCCAGAATAGGAAAGAGAGAGGATATTATCCATTTGAGCAGGGGGGGTGGCTTTCATGGTGAATATAACCATGACATATGGAAATTTTTGGTTTGTATAGTTAGATATGGTTTTAAAATGACATAATGACACCATTTTATAATTTATTTAATGGTGGCATGATTGTTATGGTGTCATAAATGATGATTTATATAGTTTTAATATGTGCTCAAAAAACTGTCCACATGAGTCATGATTTTGTAAGCCTTGTATCTCCACCATATCTCCTCTGATTCCCACGGTGTAGCGCTCAAATGAAAGCCCTGAAGCCATACTACAATGTGGTATAACCATGTCCTTGACGCATTTGTTTGTTCTCACACAATATCATAGATAGTGAAAAATGTCAAAACATGTGGACAGTTTTTTGAGCCACTGTATATGAGATTAATATAAAGAAGGGTAAGTTGACTTTGGCTACATCGAAGTCAGAATTGATTGTTGCACTCAGCACCAAGCAAAAAGGAGATCAAGCTTAGACTGCTGGAGGAGGGTAATGCCTGTAATGCAGCACCCGCTCGCAGATCAGTGGCAACATGGATATCAATGGGGTTGGCAATTGAAGAGGCTCAAATTGCATTGGTCGTCAAGCTCTGAAGAATTGGAAGAAGAACTACAGAGACACAGAGATTAGACATTGCCTGGCAATGCGATTGTCTCCAAGGCCAGATAGATGGATTCACTCGGTCTGCTCTTATGCACCTGGGAGAGGGATTTGATGCAGATGATGATCCTGATGACTTGAACGTAGACATTCTCGATGATCTTGACAATGACCCGGCAGATTTCATGGACACATCTGATACATGGGCAAACTCCCCTGAGCTCACTGTCATCCCATTGCCATCAAACCTTGGGGTAGATTGAAGCAGACGCTGTATGGTGGAGGATCTGATTCTGCTGGAGATGTTGCTTCATGAAGGGCAGGCCAATGATGCCCTTCACAACCTCCGGATTCACTTGTGCAACAAGGTGATCCTGTTCCAAACAACAGTCAGGCAGGCCAAATCTCAAGCCCTGAAAACTCGAGCTTGGTCCCAGGTGACGTTGGTACAGCAGGCAGTGTCCCTCCATGCCAGTATATATACAAAGACCCGGAAGCAAATGATGCAACTCGAGCCGGGGCAAGACCAGCTTCAGACATATAAACCACTGCTTCAGGAGCAGCTCAAAATCAGCGCTGCCATCGGCAATCCAAATGCCTGAGGTCAGTGGAACGAGTCCCTTGCTTGGTTCTGGTCTGTCGATGTGGACCTGGGGGGTCCAGATCACTCATGGAATGAGGAATGTGAGTTTGTGCATGCTTGACGTATCCCATGCTCAGCTGATGGGACCCATCCGAAGTTTACCGAGTTCATTGGCTTCGGGCAAAGGCCCTACGGGATTGATGGAAGGAAGAAATGACATTGGTCTAATTGGAGATAGATTGGACATGCAACTTTTTCTTGTGGAAAGCAACCCAATGGGGCAACAGGATGTGGGAATCATTGGTGAAACACCTTCCAGGTCATTCATGCTACTTGGGAAGGCAATCCCAAATGTATTCATTACTGGCACAGGATGCCCAGGTAGCATTTCAAGACCTGCAGAGCAGGTTCATAGACACTCAAGATGAATGAACTTTATTGCCAATGATATGAAACAGCTACTTCTACCCAAACATTTGAGTCTCAGGAAATGCCTGGATGAACAAACATCGGAGTTTGAAAATTTTATCCATCCACTGGTGGCTCATATCTTCACATCCGAACCAACTGGCATTGTGATTGTGATTCCCAGCTTCATACTCCTGCATTAGCCATGCCTGTATTGCAAACTCCTCCTGCATCCCCTTCTGATGCCATGGATTCCGGCAATGAATACCAACCCCTCACACTTGGTCTTGCAGATATTGCAGCCACAATGTCAATGGCTGCATCACACATCTGAGCAGTGATCTCCCAATATCAGATGGAGGCTGCCAACACCAAGAAGCCTTCCACTGCTTGGATCATGCACTTTAAAGCCGGGCTGCAATGGGAGATTGCTGTAAGAGACTGATAACTGTGGTGGTCAATGCTGAGATTTCCAACAGACTTTTGTGACACCCATCCTGCAGTACTCAGCTGCAAGGCACATCATCTCAGTCATTCCAAACCCGGTCACCCATATTCTTCAGTTGTTTCCCCATCTCACCTGGAACACAGTTCCAGACCACATCTTTTCATCCCACTTATGTCTCTTCCATGATGTCACAGATCTGGGAGATCCCTCCAGGATTATATCCGGCTATGATACTGCATGGTGGATCAGAGACACTGCAATCCCAGACGAATTATGGCAATGGGACCAGGTAATGGGTTGCTGTGTCTTTCACTACCAGCATTGGCTAGTAAGAACTATGAACAATTTCCTCAAGTGATGATTAATCTGTTCTAGGGTGGTGTTGAGGACAATGGTCTGATTCTTCCTGAGCAGGTGGATAACACCTCGGTTCCATCACTGATGGGACTGAGGTGGCTTAGAGAATGCCTCTGGACATTGGTTGAGGAGCAAGAAGAGGGCATCAGTGAAAAGATGGCAGAGATTGATGTGTACACCAGCATCCTGACCAGATTGAAGAGAGGCAGAGGAGAGTAGTGCTAGTCCTTGAGTTCAGAATGTTGATGTCCAAACTCCATGAAAATGACATACAGTCTTCCAAATATCTAACCTAACATTATGTGCCAAGTCCTGAATACTGAATATTGAGTATTGAGTACAGACAATCATATATCACATTGTGAATGTGGACTCCCGAATATCGAGACTTGACTATCAAATATCGAGTCCCCAATACCGAGTCCCGAACATGGACTACCAAATCTCAAGACCTGACCATTGAATATCGAGTTCTGAATACCAAATACCAAATACCAAATACCAAATACCAAATACCAAATACTGACTACCAAATACTGAATCCCTAATATCGTGATAGTGGACATTTGGAACTCGATATTCAGAATTCGGCATTCCATAGTCAGGTCTCAAATATCAACACCCGAATACCACATACCAAATACCGAGTCCTGACTAGTGAGTATCAACTATCAAAACCTGACTCAATATTTGGGTGTTGATATTAGGGACTCAGTATTTGGTATTTGGTATTTGGTATTTGGTATTTGGTATTTGGTATTTGGTATTTGGCATTCAGGTGTTGATATTTGACACCCAACTATGGAATGTCGAATTCCGAATATCAAGTTCCAAATGTCCACTATTGAGTATTGAGTATCGAATATTGACCATCAAGTCTTGAGTTCTGGATATTGAGGCCCAAATATTCCAGATCCTGATATCTAATATCTGGTATTTGACAGTATGTGCTAACATGGGTAACTACACTTTCCACTTCTTTCATCTTTCACTGTTTGTAATCCACCCTAGCCCATCCACATGACGGAACCCCAGCATAAACATGAACGGAATCCCTCATATACCATGCCCAAGCAATCCGATCCCCTTCCACTGCATGAACCCCATGTCTCACAATCCTTCCAGAAAACACAATCATGCAACCCAGATCATACCTGAACTCCAGCTGAAGGCTTGGCATGCTCATCTGAGCATTAGAATAATTCCCCACGGTAGTGAGAATGTCAAAGCATTCAGGAATAGATAAATGGTCTCAATGATTGGGGGTTTCCCAATTGGAAATGATGGACAGGCTGTTAAACATGGATGCCCAGTACTGGAAAGTCTCTGACATCTCCTGCAGTTCCTTGCTTTCTGCCTTTTCTCCAAGGCTCGAAAAGGCTCGCAAACCTGCCCAGTACTGCTCGGGATGCATCACCCTGAGTGCCGCTGTTGCAATGGCTGCTGGCCTCACAATCACTTTGAGGATCTTCTCAGAGGATGCCCCCTTCAATGATGCAGATACCTCCAGATCTGACTGATTCTAGGGGATTTGTGAGTTTGACTACCAAAATCACCATCACATCAGATCCTACCTCATGTCCCTGTTGAAACCATGCCAGAGACAAATTGATGCATCCGGGAGTTAAGACATCATTTTCTGAGCTTGGTTTGAACCACTCTTGATTAGTTCACCAATTGCCATCAAGCTTGATGCTTTTTTCGAGGATTGGAGTGAGCAAATCAGAGGCCACCCAAATTTCCTTCTGTGGGCACCATTTGATGTTCAATATCCATTGAGTAACAATATATATTACACACCTGGGTGGCATCGGTCAGGGCATCCGGGACGTACCATGCGATGATGGCACCGGATGCATCAAGAATTGTCATTGGTATCTCCACCAACTTTGTGCCCTCATGGCCAGGAGGACACCTCTCAAGCAACTTCTTCTCTCTCTCTTCATTATGCCTGGTGTCCTTCGGGGAGATCACTTTGCTGTATCTTGCAACATTGATCTGCATCTGAACTGTGATGAAGCAATTTGACTGATAAAACAAATTTTCTGAATCTGCAGGAAGACCCACTGGGATTTTTATATGCCTTTATCAGGCAATCAACCAATTGATCACAAGCCATCACCAGATCAGTGTCTAGGTTCGGAGAAGGTATAACTGGGTCTCCTCCTGTCTTCTCTGCATTGAATTTCCATTCAGTATATTCACATGCCTCATGAGTGACAGTCAGGGCCCAAGTGTGCCAGAGGGTTATTTCAATATTGGAAGTGGAAGAAACAGTCATGATGGAATGGATCTGGGGAAATCGGACGCCGAACCCTGCATGTCCACACTTTGGAGTTAAAGGGGGTGGAGATAGTGAGGATCAGATAAGGGAGCCTGGCATGATGTTATTTTCCAAAGATGTGTTATCGTCCATTGCTCAATGAAATACCAGATGATTGGAAGTGTGCTGGATATCAGATATTTGTTTGTTGAGACCCAGGCCTTGGATCTCAGTACCCTTCACTCAATGTTTGGTAGTCGGAACTTGGCTTCTCATAGGGCAATGCATGCTGTGTGCATTAGCTACTCAGTAGTTGGTGCTGCATGTTCGCATCTCTACTGGGTGCTCGATTTTCTGGCACTTGTGACCTTCATCATTAGATGACTTTGAATTATTACCTCCTTTGATTTGGATGATATACAACTACCTACAAAACTCATACATTTTTACGACTTCCGAGTTTTGGGTTTCAATGTTTGGGCTTCGGGACTCAGTACTTTTCGAAATTTGTTTTGATGTTTGAGTTTCGAGCTTCAGGTTTTGGGTGTCGGGTTTATGTTTATGTGTAATAACAACTACCTAGCCCCACCTGTCGATATAATATATATCACTACCTCAGCCTATATGTCCATACGTCCATATAGTATACAAATACCTTGGCCCTTACATCTATGGACTGTCTTCTGAGGTATCGCTGGATTCCAAGTTGACAGGGCACTTGGCTGTATACATACCTTGGCCCTTACATCTATGGACCGTCTTCTGAGGTATCACTGGATTCCAAGTCAATGGGGCGCTTGGCTGTGTTGACTTTGATCGACATTGACAGGATCTGAGTCTGAATGTCATTCACGACTCAGATCAAAACTAGTGCAACAGCATTGCTCATATATCCATATAGTATACCAATACCTCAGCCCATACGTCTAAATGATATGTATCTGGGCCCACCCATCTATATGACATCCCCCTATGTCGGCCCACCTATCTATGTAATATACCCCTATGTTGGCCCACCCATCTATCTAATATACCCCCACCTCGGCCCACCCGTCTATCTAATATACCCCCACCTTGGCCCACCCATCTATCTAATATACTCCCACCTTGGCCCACCCATATATATAATAAGTATTTCACCACCCCATCGGCCCACCCATCTACAAAATAATACTAATATGTCGGCCCACCTGTCTATATAATAATATCTGCCATACATCTCTCTTCAGCCCAGCTGTCTATCATATATGTCTATCCTACTCTACATATTGCCCAGATGGGCCCACCCATCTCCATCGGTAATAATATTTCTCCCGGCCCATCCACCATCGTCGAGGATATTTATAACATGGGCATAGATGGGCCCACCCATCCCCATCGGAAATAATATCCCTCCTGGCCCATCCGTCATAGTCGGGGATATTTTTACCTTCAGCCCATGGTCCGCTGGCCCATATTATATGGGATATTATGCACATCTGTTCACTCATATAATACAGAGATAGGTCACTGCAATATGTGTAAAGTATGATTCAGACAACAAGAGATTGGAGGTCTCAAGCAAAGGATATTCCAGGTAAAACCTAGTAAGATTAAAGTAAAGAACTAAAGCATACAAGAGGACTATTTATAGTGAACTACAAGTGCTTTAGGGCAGACATGAGAATGTATGTGAGTCAGAGATAAGGGATACATAAGTGATAAGGGATATGTAAGTGATAGCAAGAATAGATCATCTAATGATGGCAATGGCAATCATGATGTAATACAAGGTATGAGTAAAAGATAAGTCTAGCAGCAGCATCATGTGGCTCATGACATAATACACAGTAAGAGAGAAAATGAATAGGGGTGTACATGGTTGTAACACCTTTGACAGGCCACACAGCTTCATGAAAGATGAGGGCAGGAGGCCCTTGTGGGTTGATAAATTTGAGACCTCAGGCACTGATCCCTGGTTGGCAAAGCAGGGATATGTGCTTGCACCTTGCAATGACTTGTCATTGATGGAAAAAACTACTTCATTCTTCACACCATTCAGTCAAATCATACAGGAGTGGCATCATCTAATTCTAGCAGCAGCCAGCAACCTGAGCAACCCCCCTGTTGGTGTAACTCATGCAGCACTCACAGCGCTCCTGAAAAAATGGATCTCTCAGCTCTCCATGGATGCTCCCACAGAAATTATGGTGCCCATGGCATCATCATCAAGATTGGGTCATCCTCCACATGATGATGTCCAATCATCCGCAGGTGCTTGTCGTTCTATGCACATCCAACAGAGAGTGTCATAGTCCACAAACCCTCCTCATTCTTCCCACATCCAAATGAGACATAACCCTCTTCTCGCATGTCTTTTCTGTGTATGTTTTTCATTGCAATGCATTTTAGTACAATACAGTGTAGTACGCCACATGTTATATGATAGATACCTTCCTGATCCAAATATCAATGACAGAATGTTTGATACCCATGGATCTGAGGGAGCCTTCACTGGAGAGGTCCTAGGTACATAGGCAGGCACCACTTTTCTCCTGTTCCCACAGTCTTAGAGACCTGGTTTCTTTGTAGAGCGCAAAAGAGCACCACAGAGACAAGAGGAGTAACAGGAGCACCAAGAGCTCCACAGGAGGTGAGAGGTCTCATACTCACATGGGAGGGTACGTCTCACAGACTAGTTGCACTCTACAAAGAAACCAGGTCTCTAAGACCACAAAAGTGGTGCCAAGGGTGAACAAGCCTTTGGTTGAATGCTTCTCTCCAAGTCGTTCCCACAACTGCCAGCACCAAAACCAAACAAGTCCAAATCCTTGACTTGACTTGGACCCCTCCACTGTCAGATATCGAGCATACCAAATCCCGCCACCTCCATTAGCACCAACAGGAACACCAACTAATTTCTGGAAAGACATGGTCAGGAAAAAGGTCATTGTATGCCCCACATCAGGCATTGATTATCGAGGTATCCTTTCCTTTGCCTTCTATGAATCTAGAGCTGATTTTACGTGTGTAGGCATTCTCTCATGTCTAGATGGATATATGAACATTGCGCTGGAGCAGACGGAGAAGCATATTGATGGTGCAGTCATAAGTAAATACGAGGACATGTTCATTTGCTGGAATAATGGTAAGCCGTCCGTGAATGTATGGCTGGATATGTTCTGATGCGTCCTCCTGTGCTACTGTTGTACATATCTACTGCAGATCCACTATAATCACAACGTTGTACTGTACGAGCATCGCCAAAATCTACGGGAGTAATGTGTGACTGCATTCCCCTGCTCTCAGCCTTTGATTTTTGCACATTATTCGATGAAGGATCTATCGGCGGACCTGCGCAGTGCCCATCTCATCATCGTTATTCTGGATAGGTGAGGTTTGTATTGAGATCCTACATTTATGGCTCCCCTGCTGTCAAGACAATTAAATTCTTTTTCTCGCCACATACAACCTTCATCTCAGAACAGTAGTACCAATCTACGCGGATGGTACCTTGCTCTTCGAAATCTCTTTTCCAATGCTATGGAAGGCATGAAGTTATCCGTATTCACTTTGGTTTCAGGTGAGTACATTGGGGTAAGGTATATCTGAGACGTGCACCCCAGGGAGCGCGTGGCTAGACAATGCTACATAGAAAGCGATTAATTGCATACAGGGTGCACCCATCCCTTCTGCACGATCTCAAACCCCCGATGCCACCTCCACAGCAAATCCTTCACAAGCGCTCCAAAGGTGCTCCCATCCGTGACAACGACCTCTTGCTCTAGTCAACACCATCGCATCCAGCACCGGTACCAAAACCCCTTCAAAGGAACCTGGTCATACGGATTGATCAGTGCGTCCAGGGGAGTGAGATGGCAAGTGAAATCAGACAGGAAGAATATACACAGGAAGGTTTGAGGATAAATTGAAAACAGTGAGTCTACTGCAGGATTTGGGGTGTCAGTAGCGATGCAAAGAGGGGGCGTCCAGTCTTTGCAACAGTGCTGATATATGCAGAGGTGCATGACATCGGATCTTGGGCTAGAACATATGGTAGTGGAGGAGGCAAAGGCGGTCCAGCGGATGAGGTACCCTGAGACAGGGTACATCCAGTTGGACAAGCAGTGGATCGGGGTTCTCGTCGAAAAGACTGAGTTGCTGTTCAGCACCAGAGTCTCTTCAAGATCTAGTTCACAAACAAGGTGCATGAGTTTCCACTAGATTGTTCTTGCATTGTCAGGCCTTCGTTGTTTGAACTGACTGTCCCCAACATGAAGATGCGCACTTATGTGGACAGCACCTAATGTTCCATGTATCATATCGGCCACGACTCACCAGACAGGCGTGGATCCACAAACGCCATTCCGCCCCTTACATCTCTGCGCACGCTCTTACTCACACCCTGTCTCAGCCTAAGCCTCCACGACCCAAATAATGTTCCAATCTGCATCAATCTCTCGAGTGCCTGAACAAGTGTCAGGATGTGAATGGAATAGAGATACTTGTCCTGTGTAGGCAATACATCGTCAAACGTGTCCAAGAACCAAACATCGTAAAGGCCCGAGTCTTGCGGCATCAGTGTCTGCTTCAAATATTTTTATGAGATTTTCTCATATATTGTGCAACTGGGCTTCCGCATGTTCTCCCCTGGTGTTTCTACGGTACTGATTATCGACAGCGTTGGGTATAAGCAGCTCCTGTTCAGTGGGTTGGTGGATGAGCTTTGCTTCTGTCTAGATATTTGTTGCGATGCGGCGCTTACTGAGGTGTGGTGCAGGAGTTGAAGAACATGGGCGCTTGAAGGTCCGGGTCGAGTCGCAACAGTCGTGAACATTAATATTCGAATACACCGTGAAGTCATCGAGCAACGAGAGTAGACAAAAACGAAAGCCAAAACAAGATAGCATATAAGTACGTGATAGATGAATGTAACAGGCTAAGTCAGTAGCAACAACTTGAAGTACATTGGGGACGAAAAAGAACGCGATACAAAGAACACGTGAAACCATATCAGATGAAGCAATATAGCAGGAACTACACACCGATATGAACGAAAACCATCCTCTGCTCAAGCGGCACTTTCGTCTTCACAGCGTGCGTAGCACGGTTGAGTGCCCAGGCCGCCTTCATACAGTCTATGACACCACCCTCCTCTAAACCATCAAACAAATTCTCGTAGAATGCTTTGACAACGTGTTTTGCAACAGAATCATCGACCTCCCACAGCGTGCCAATGACGCTCTTGAACCCTGAAAACTGGAGACCAGCTGCGAGGTGAATCACTTCGTCGGGCGTCTCCTTATCGCCAACAGCAGTGTGACAAGCGGATAAGAACGCGAACTCAGCGTGTGGAATATGTTTCTCCATGATATCGAGTAGCGTCAGATGTTCGTCTCTCATGACGAAGTGGGAATTGTAAGGCTGTGTAGGGTCCTGCTTGCCATGGCAAGCGAGGTGCACCCAGGTGTTCTCTTCCAAAGCTTTGAGTGCACCTGCTCGTGTGGCTGCGTCACCGGAAATAGTGGTATGGTTGGCCGTTGCAGGGACGAGCTTATGGACAAGCTCGAGCTCACTGTCAACAGCCAAGAGCGCCTTGCCTTTCCCCGTACCCGGTTGACCCTGTCCAATTGTCACGAAGGATGGAGTGATGCACTTCTTCATCATCTGTCTAGATCTAACCAGGGCCGAAAGTGTCGGCATGTAAGAGCAGATATAGAGATCCTCCAGGCATGGCTCTTTAGAGCGATCTGCCCTTGTTTGAAAGAGGTGAGCTGCATGGAGAGGAATAGACGTGAAAGCTGCAGTTGGACACAGCCAGATTCGAGAGCCATGCTTTAGCGCAAGGACATGTTCGAGTACGTTTACGATGGGTAGCATGATCTCTTCCCATACTGTCCTCAAGAGGACTATCAGATCGTTCCAAGGCAACTTTGGGCCCATGATGGATGCGTGTCGTATTGCCCTGGCGAAGCGATCCTTGAGATTGTTCAGATCAGTGAGAGTGACAGACGGCAAGGGTACATGATGGGGCTCCCCCAACGTCGGAACGATGATGGCGCTGCACGAATATTGACTGGCAATGAAGATGATGACAGGGCCCTGGCGTGCTGCCGCTTGCAAGTCTTCGTACGAAGGCGGGAGCAGGAAGCGCGAGAACGCTTTAAGATCACGGATTTCAGTCACTGCAGCGTCCCATTGCCTTGTGAGTATTCTATATTCTGTTGCAGCCCGATCAGCTGCAGCTGGGTCAGCGCTGCCTGCAGAAGCCTGAGTATGAGATAGGCGCTTGTTGAGCCCCAAGAGCTTTTCAGCTAGTTGCGGACTCGCAGATTTCAGGTCTTCCAGCGGAGTCCTGAGTCGAGAAGCCAGCGACCACTGCTGGCCACGACCCTGCTCCACAAGTTCAACTGCTTGTCGTAGATTGTGACGACATATGGCACATGAGGCCGCATCTACAGGGAGTGATTGTGCACCACGAAAAGCGGTTGCAGCCTCACGCCGTGAGATGATCGACGATCGCGTCATCGCGTGGCTGTCGAAAAGCTCGAAGCACATCTGGTATGCTTCGAGGGAAGAGTCGTGTTGATAATTCTCGGCTTCAATAACCCAGTGCAAGGCAGTTTGAATGCGATTTGGAAAGCCTTGAGTAGGGTGTCCCGAAGCGAATCTGAAGTTCTCTATAGCGCGCGACAAATCAGCAGGGCTGCGTAGAACCTGGTAACGAGCTAAATAGGCTGCCTTCAACCATGTGTAGCTGAACCATCTGTCTGGGTGCAGTGAAGACAAAGCCACCAATGACTCTCGGCAGAGATTAATGGCCTCCTTGATATCTTCATTCTTCCGAGTTTGCGTGAAACGAGAACAGAGCGACGAGCTCAAATTGGAAAGATATAAATGGCGCTCGGGATGGTCATGCCGGGTTAATTGAAGGGATTCGCGATACCGATCAATGGCCTCGTTAAGATCCTCGCTGATATCTAATTTGTTGTATCTGGTTTTGAGCGCGAGGGCAAGGTTGTTAAGCGTGACATCACGATGTGGATGCCCAGGTGGGCGCAATGTCAGTGCCTCGCGAAAGAGGCTAATAGCTCGGGTGATGTCATCAATGTCGCCGCGTTTGTTGAAACGGCTGATGAGGGCGAGCCCTAGGTTGTCCAATGAGGTATCACGATATTGGTGCCCAACAGGGCGCAGGCGCAGCGCTTCTTCACACAAAGAGATGGCCTCATCGAGGTCATTAGGTTTGCCTTGGTGATCGAAACGGTATCCGAGCGAGAAGGCCAAGTTGTTCAGGTAGTAAGCACGGTCAGTATGTCCCTCGGGGCATAGAGACATAGCTTCACGACCAAGTTGTATGCTCATTTCAAGATCATCGATAGTGCCGTGCTGATCAAAGCGTGCTTCGACTGCTTGTGCAAGCTTGTCGAGGGTTCCGGGACGGTGTTGATGGCCCAGAGGACAGAGCTCGAGGACAACTCGTCGGAGGTGGATGCCTTCATCAGATGCCTCTATCGGAAGTTTGTTGCATCCGTTGATCACATAATCGACACCATTTGTCCCTGCCGCGATGCTACGAAGGTAAGTGCCCTCTGGACAGAGAGGCAGTAGCTCATGATAGAGTTTGGCGGATTCGCAGATATCGGCAGCAGTACTTTTCTTGTTGTGGCGCCAAGTCAGCGCTTCGGTGAGATTATATAGAGATAATGGATGATCGGGATGGCACTGCGGACGCAATGCAAGGACATCGCGGAACAGCGAAGTGGGGGTATCAATATCTTCAAAATCGTCACGAATATACCCTTCAAGGCGCGCATACGCAAGGTTGGTGAGGGCTGCTGCGTGGTCGGGATGGCTGACGGGACACTGGTCTAGAACCAACTGAAAATGCTGCACCGCATCGTTCAGGTGAGAGACCGTCTCGCTCGTCACGTATGCGGCAAATTGTGCGTGGCCCGCATCTGTGTCTCGAGCGATCTCGCAGTCTACGAGGGACTACGATTGGGGTTCCGTCAGCAAAGCTAACAGTAGAGACCAGCGTCACTTACATCAGACAGCACGCCCTCCTGATCGTCGCAAGCATGTGCAATGGTGGCCCTCAGCGTGAGGGAAGGGTGGACACCACGAACGGGTGGGAAGGACAAAACTACGAGATGTTGGTATACGTGCATGAATGAGGAGAAAATGACTCACCGAAAGGTTCATCTCCATGATCGAGTAGCTCGTCCCACGACGTTTGGAGTTTCCCAATGACCTCTCCACTGCCTAGCATTCGACCGGCCTCATATGACGCCCAGATCTCCATTGATAATGCAGGTGAGGTATGGGATGATCTAGAAACAGAAGATCAGCTCTCGCATCGCATCGGAAAATCTTCTTGGACTTTACAGAGTCACAGTGTCGCCCCACGCTGCAGACTGGTCAGATGATAGGACACTGATGGCCGATTTCCAGCGTCTATGGGAATCGACATTAGTGGATATGTAAATGCCTGCGGGCATGCGCTCGGATGGGACTTGAAGATTTTTTCCGCTGATGACTGTGAAAAGAGTGTGAGGATTGCGAAATGGATGCAAATGTAATATGGAGCGACCCACCTTCAAGTCTGATATATCGGCTTTCCAAGCTACTAGGCATGGTGGTGTGATGAAGCAAAATGACGAGGATCGAGGATGGACTGAGCGGCAGGCAGAATGGGTGAGAGGGAAAGGCGGGGGTAGGAATATAGGGACTGTGGATAGATGAGGTTAGGCTGAGGCAGAGAAGAAGAGGTTGAGGATTCAGGCTATGCTACACGTGTATTTTCATGTTGTCAATCGCAGTTCGGCACGATAGACGCTGGTATGATTCAACTAAGCGTTGAAAATGCCATGAAATCACCAGTAGGATTAGCGGAAGAATCTGTGCTAGAGAAGTATAGACAAAGTCATGATCAGTCTTCAGCGAAAGTGGCCCGCAAAGTTGAAGGGGACATGCGAGTCTCAGAGTGTCTTGTGATGGTTGCTAGTCGTACCACTCATTTAGCACACTTCAAAAGCAAAATGTAGAATCGTGTATTTCGTAAGATGATGGATAACAAAAATACAAACTGCTGAAAACGGAGCGCACAGAAAGTCGAACGATTCTATATGACTTGTTCAATTGTGAATGGTGGAGGAGGATTGAGCGTGACAATGTTGTAGAAACACCAGGGGAGAGCATGAAAGTCGAATTCATGGATGTGAAGACGAAAAGAGTGACACTGAACAGAGCCGAATTAAAACCAAGTCTTGCGGATACCTGGTCAGCCCAATGTCAACTCGTGTCTGCCGTTGAACAAACCTTTGAATGCTCTCCTCCAAGTTGCCAGCGCGAAAACCAAACAAGTCCAAATCCTTGACTTGAGTCAAACGCCTCCACCGCCAGATATCGATGCATACCAAACCCACCTCCATTAGCACCAACAGGGACACCGGCTAATTTCTTGAATGGCGTGGTCGGGAAAAAGGTCATCGTATGTCTTACATCAGGCGTCGATTATCGAGGCATTCTCTATGAATCTAGAGCCGAGCTTATGTGTATAGGCGTTCTCTCATGTCTAGATAGGTATATGAACATCGCGCTGGAGCAGACGGAGGAGCATATTAATGGTGCAGTCATAAATTGATATGGGGACGCGTTCATTCGTGGGGATAATGGCAAGTCATCCAAGGATGTATGGCTGGATATGTTCTGATACGTCTTCCTGTGCTACTATTGTACATATCTACTGCAGATCCGTTATAGTCACAACGTTGTACTGTACGAGCATCGCCAAAACCTACGAGAGCAATATATGACTTTTCATGTAAGACGTCACTTCATTCCTTTGCTCCTGGGCTTCGATTTCTACACATTGCTCAATGAAGGGTCCATTGGTGGATCCGTGTAGTGCCCGTCTCGTCGTCGTGGTAGATGGGTGGGCTGACTGAATTCTGTGTCGGAATCTTACATTTATTGCTCCCCTTCCATTAAGAAATTTAATATCTCCTTCTCGCCACACACAATACGGTCGTCTCGAAACAGTAGCGTCAGACTATGCAGATGGCACCATGTTCCTTGAATTCTCTTTTCTAATACAACGGGAAACATGGAGTTATCTGCAGTCACTTTGGTTTCGAGTGAGTACATTGGGGTAGGGTATATTTGAGACGTGCATCTCAAGGAGCGCGTGGCTAGACAATGCTACATAAAAAGCGATCGGTTTTGTCCGACGTACGTTCCAGCACTCATCCCCTATGCACGATCTCAAATCCCCAATACCGCCTTCACAGCACGTCCTTCATAAATGCCCAAAAGTGCTTCCATTCGTGATAACAACCTCAGCAATACCATCGTGTCCAGCACCAGTATCAAAAACTCCTTTAATGGGACCTGGTCATATGGATTGATCAATTCGTCGAGGGGAGTCAGGCGAGATGTAGAATCTGAAAGGAAGAATATACACGGGAAGGTTTGAAGATAAATCGAAAACGATGGGTCTGCTACAGGATTCAGGGAGTTGGTAGCGATGTAGAGAGGGCATTTAGTCTCTGCAACGGTGCTGAGGTATGTAGAGGTGCATGACATCGGATCTTGTATTTGACCGTATGCGGCAGAGGAACCAAAGGCGGATGAGATATCCTGAGGTTCGGTTACATCGGTTGGATAAGCGGCGATCAAGGTCCTGGTCAAAAGACTGAGCTGCTGTTCAAGTGCCAGAGTCCCTTCGAGATCTAGTGCACAAGTTTCCACCAGATTGTTCTTGCATTTTCGGAGCTTCGTTGTTGAGTGGCTGTCCGTGACACGAAGATGCGCATCAATATACACAACGCCTAACGTTCATATATCGTACTAGCCACGAGATAGATGTGAATTCGTAAATGCCATTCCGCTTCTTACATCTCTGCGCACCCTCTTACTCACACCGTGTCTAAGCCTAAGCCTCAAAGACTCAAACAACGTCCCAATCTGCACCAATCTCTCGGGTGCTCAAGCGCTCACACAAGAGCCGGGATGTGGATGGAATAGAGATACTTGTCCCGCATAGGCGATACATCATGAAGCGTGTCCAGAAACCGGAAATCGTAAGGACTGGAGCATTGGTGCGTCAGGTGTGTCTGTGTCAAAGATATTGGCATGAAAACTTTTCATACGACTGGGCTTCCGTCCCATTGGATAATCTTGACTCCGAATTTCTCTCCTATTGCGTGTAAATCGATGAGCTGATCTTGCCCGATGCAAGTCTATTCTTCATACCCTGAACATTCATGGGAGTGGGCACGTTTGGAGGGACAAGCAGACAGCGTTCAAGCTCGGTTTTAGACCCAAGCACAAGGAAGTGTCTGAAGTTTTCAATGAAACATATAGAATTGGTTTTCTAAGTCTTAGAAAAGGAACAAGAAGAGTACGATTAAGTGGTCGAGAGAGTACAAGCACATTCTTGAGTGCGATGCGTTAGTTGTGTAATCCACTGTGGGGGAACTAGGAGAGGTATTTGGTGTCAGGAGGGGTGGGTTTGCTTTTGGGAAGGCGTCAGTGGGGTGCGGGTGTGGTTGCGCAAAGGGAGCGAACCTGGTGGTGAATAAATGATACGCGAAGAAAAAGCATGTGACTGATGCGAAAGCTAGTACGGTGATGAGGATCGCGAGTGTTCTGTTTTGAGAGTGGGATGGCGGTTGTTTGGCGCTGAGTAGGCTTTGGCTGAGGAAGAACCTGGGCGTGAGCTGCGTGGTGCACGCATTCGGTACGCGCCTTTTTCGAGCGTGACGGATGGAGACTGGGAAGTGTGCTGTGTAGACATGATGATGTTGAAGACGACGTGTTGTTTGTGCTTGTTGAATTCTAAGGGCTGGCGCTGACGAAAGCACGCGAGAACCCTGTCTCGCGCAGAGCAATTCTAAGGGTTAACCGTTTATTCCAAGCAGCACCAGAGACAGAGAGAAGGAGAGAGTACAACGCTGATCGATAGCTTGGAGTCTTCGGACCGGCAATCAAGTGGAGCCAGTCATGATCAGGATGACAGAGATATTTTCCCCAATGCTTGCAGTGTTTGTCACTCCTGTACCATTAGGGATTGTACCTGTGGCAGTGGTGAGTTTTTAATGGACGGATGGTACCAAGTCACTTGTCCATATTGGCGATGTTTAACGTTCAAGATCTTAAGATTAGTATTCCCATCGTAGCCTCTCGGTGCCTCGTGCTCCAATGATATCAACATAGTTTCGCCCCCTGGGAGCATGCAGATCATTTACTGAGACCTACGACATTTCTCCTGTCCTTGAGGTCTACACCATTCCCCTCTCCAACCTCCATCAACCACCATCAGCATTGCATTTCCCGTGCTGGGTTTGAATTTCGAGAATGAACTGGAAAGAAATATGCGAGTTTCTCGGGCGCTATTAGGGTTTACGAGGTTTAGCTTTGCATGTCATGATGTGGGGTTGTGGAACACTGCGCAGACACAGAAAGAAGGTAAAAAGATCAAAGAACCCAAGTGGTGGCGGCCACTGGAGTTTGTGAACGCATGTTTGGTAATCGATCTGAAAGCAGAATTTGAACACTGATTATCGATTATCTTCAATGCAAATTGCGGCGAAAGCCCGTAGTGCTGATCCAAGAGAACGATGAAACAGCCGCAACACTTGAAGGACATCTACCGAGAACATTCCAGGGAACAGAAGCTGACATGCATCTAAGGTTGTGATCATCATAATAGATATTCCAAAGTGCGTAGACGATCAGGCATATGTTATCTTCCTATCTACTCGCGGGCCCCTGTAGTGAAAATAAACTGTTATCAGAACTACGTCCCTGCCGAAGAAGACGCTTATGATAACAGCCTCATGTCCGGGGTGTCTAATGAGATGTACGGAAGGTCAATATCAATATTGTGATGAATCAGTATAACGAGGTATTAAAAACGCACCGACGGTCTGCACCAGTGCAAGGCACCCACAATCCCTTCAAGAAGTCTAAACTGTGCTCAATACCACCAACCTCCAGTCAAATGACACAGTTCATTCCAAGCACCATACCAGTTCGAGAGTTTGCAAAATATCATGGTGGACCTGTGACTGCAGTCGCAGTTTTCCCCGATAGACGACGGATGGTGACAGGCTCGCAAGACAAGATGCTTCGTCTGTGGGACTTGAAGACAGGTGCTGTGTTGAAGAAAATGGAGCGGCATAGCGGCCAGGTGAAGACATTGGCAGTATCACGGGATGGGCGATTGATAGCAAGCGGTGGTGAGAATGAAGAGCTCGTCGGCTGGGATGGTAACACCGGTGCACCTCTCAGTCGACCCATCAATGCCACTGCGGGCCGCCAGGGCGGCTTCGGTTGGATCATATCACTGGACTTTTCCCTAGATGGTGCAGCGCTGGCCACCTGTTCAAACGACAACGCAACATTAACGCTGTGGTGTACACAAACATGGCAGGTTCAAGGACATATCAAGTGTGATAGTCCAGCTGTCTCCGTTCGGTATTCGCCAGGCGGCGAACATATTGCCATCGCGACAGCTAATAATATCCAAATGTGGAAACCAGACTCAAGACAATATTGGAGCGCGAAGCCTGGGTTCAGCAGCTTCAGCTTCCAAGCAGTTGCCAACCTTGCCACCAATTCATTCAGATGGAGCCCCGATGCATTCGCATGGACCCCTGATGGCACACTCGCATGGACCCCCGATGGCACACGCCTTCTGTCATCGGGTAAAGATGCTGATAATGATTCAACCATATTGGTGTGGGATTTGTCGACCTACAAGTGGGTCGGCGATCCCTGGGAGGGTCATCCCAAAGGTGTCAGAGCCATTGCTCTAAACTCTGATGGCACACTCGTTGCTTCTATATCCGGGGACAACTATGTCCACCTCTGGCGGCTCTCCGATCGGCAAATTATCGCCATATTCAAGCACTCTGGTGAAGTGCACTGCATCGCATTCTCCACAGATGGCAGGCACATTCTCAGTGGAGGCGTGGATAAGAGGACCTCACAGTGGCCTGTGCCCATGACTGCTTTGCCGCAAGATGATCCCATTGAACATGCTACGACACACCCGGTAAGCTCGATTCCAATTTTCGGTCTCTTCTCTGTCTAATTTCGCATCAAGGCGGAAGATTCTGATTTCAAGGCATGTAACCCATCTTTATTTCCTTGAGCAACACGAAAACATGCTTCATGCAGATCCTTGTTATAAGTGAGACAGCCCGCAATTTATGCGTAACTGGAGACCTGCCTACCGCTGAAAAGTCGCTAACAAAAAATATCAACGCTGATACTAATAACTACAACTTGTATGCCAATCGTGCAGTCGTTAGGGCACGAAAGCTCGACTGGGACGGAGCGCTTGGTGATGCAATTAAGGTAAGGTTCACAGACAATCACACCCGTCACCATTCTTTCGCATAGGCTAACTCGCATGGCCATATAGTCTGTCAGCATTCAGCCCTCGCTGAATGGCTATATCTCGAAGGGGATTGCTCTTTGTGGAGAACAGCAGGTTCGGGGCGCCAGGACAGCTTTTGACGTCGCATCCGTATTTGTGCAAGGGAATTCAAAGAGCACTCACCATCTTCTCTTGATCAAGGCAAGTATAATTTTTCTTACATCCTCCATGCTTCATCGTAGTTTTCAAAGGCCATCGCACTATTTAATGCGGGCGAGCATCAGGAAGCGTTGCTGCTTGTCGAAGAGCTGGCTACTGCTTGCCCCAATACTGATCCTCTCGTTTGTCGTATCATTGAAGTGAGAATCCTTCAGTTAATGAAGCCCAGAATCGGTGCTGACATTCATTTTTTCTTCGCTTTGTTTATCAGGCATATTTACATGTCCAACTGGGAACCATTGCTTTGGAAAAAACACATTACACCGAAGCTGTCGACCATTTCACTACTGCTGTCAACGCTAGTGCCGCATTTTCCAATTCACCAATTCATTTGATGTATGAGGAATTGGGTGTGGTACGTTGACATGATTCAACTGAAAATTATTTTCACGCTCAACTGCATGTTTTGTTGCAGCTCTTCGGATGGGATCTCAAGTCCTTATGGCAGACCACAATACGGAAACGGTGCCATGCGCTCCTTCTGTCTGGTAGACTTGGAGAAGGCCTCGAATCGTACCGATCCATAATGGGAATGAATGATGAAACTACGAAAGGGAGCTTGCTTGCATGGTTTGACAGTAAGTCTTCAGTAATATTACCTATAGTACAGTCCTCATCCTCCTTTCGATCAGCTATCAAACAAGAATGAGACACGCAATATTGCTGCAGGAAAATCTTGCTCTCGTCATGAGCAGTTCCTCCTGCATTTTGATAACTTTGTTGTAACGTTAATAGGATATAGGCTTGAGGATGAGTCAAGGAACTGGGAGATTGCTGAGCCATTCACAAGTACGAGTAATCAGAATAAAATTATAAGTGCCCTACGATAGGCAATGAATATCAGATACCACCATGACGCCTTGCTGGCAGGTCAGCACTAATGTCGAAGCGGTGTAAGCAATGCTACAAGTCAAAGCAGCCATCCGGAATTGACTAAACTACCAACTTCCATGAGTGCGCACATTTGAAGGATAAGTTGGATGAGCCCTGCCTTTAAGCTGACATTGATTATATTGGCAGTGGTTGGTCGAGGTTCCATGGTGCAGGACTTGAACGCTTGAAGCTTGAAGGATGGTATGACTGGAAGGCGTGAGTCGGCCTGACTTGGCTCGTACTCTCTAAGCACTCAAGTAGAAGACGAAGCTGCAAACGAGCCGAGTCAGGGTTGAGGGTTCAAATCATGCTGCACGTGTATTTCCATGTTGTCGATCACA